GATAAGATCGAGACTAGCGTCTTCAACATTTCTGAAACGAAAAAGCAGACCAAGATTAGCAATTTTTTATCACGAAAATAAATCATTGTGTTGCAGTGTGGAATTAGATGTCATTCTTGAATGCGCCTATTGTAGGTGATGGCTCGCTACAGGTAAGGTCTCAGGGCCTCTATTTTTTCATATCGAATTTTTCATATATCGAACTAATTCGCGATCCTGTTCGAGTTCGATATATCCGTGTTCAACTGTATTTACAATTAATCTTGTGGTAGCCTTTACATACGACATACTAGCCGCAGTATAAGCTATTGCCTCCAGGAAGATTCTTACAAGGTTCGAACTAAAAAAGGCATCAATTTGTCAGTATATCATGCTGAGTGTAGTTGCACCCCAAACTTCCACCAGACACACATTGTGCGCTGCTACCGAGATAACCGTGTTCGCGAGATATATGAAGAGCGAAATATTTGTGGCATAACTGAAACAAAGAAGGAAAGAATGAAAAAAGACATAAGGTGCCCTATCCTGTCTTCTGCCGTTTTCTTTTTCTTCCTTGCCTTCATTGCAATCATCATTCTCAGCCTGTGTTAGTCCACGGCAGGATGAAGACCTCTCCCAGTGATCCACCATTTAACCTATCCTGAGCGAGCTTATTTTGTTTTACCCCTGTAAACTTCTCAATTTTTTTACTTTGTCTCTCTGTGTTTCCCATTCTTTGGTAAGCATTCTGTAATTGCTCTTACTGTCCAGCGGTTGTCCGTTCTACCCATCACCTGACCAGCCCAGGTCCATTTTTTAATTGCTTGATGTCAGCTAGGGTATCTGTATAGTTCCCTGTCAGGTCTTTTATTGAAATTGCACTGCCAATTAATGTAGTCTCATAATTATGTCTCTATTTCTTATATAAGAATTACTGGAATGGTTTGCATCTGGGGTAGTTGATCTCGCATGTCAAGTGATTGCAGCTTAAGAATTACTAAATTATAAAATCTACTCCTTCATTAATCTACTCCTTCATTGTGTACATATAACTCTTAGAAGCACAATACACTGAATGCCAGTGAGATATTTGTGCTTGTTTTAATTTGAGATGCAGCACAACGCATGCCACTGAGATAGTTCAATGCAGAAATTTGGGCCAGTTCGTGGGTGTAGAACTTATGCATATAAGCGGGCACAGCAGAACGAACACAAGAGAAAGGAATACGTAAACAGGACAAGTGCTAGACTAGCGCCGGTGCTGTTTACATGTGTCTTTCTCTTGTGTTTGTTCCTAGTGCATACCTGCCATCTGATTTAACCATAAAATGTACGAATTTAAACTGCGTTATGATTTTATGAATCTTGCCTGAAATTTAAAAAGATATTCTATTTGCGATAAAAAAAATAGCATCAGTAAAATAGTGTGGCCTTCGCGATTGGTTACAGCAAATTGCCGCAGCTAGTCGTGGAAGCCACAAAAACGGTGCGACCAGGAGAGGACAATATGTATTGGCATTGTTATCGTTACACACCTGCCAAGTCTCCCGCAATGTTCGGGAGACTCCAGATTTCAACTGTTTCTTCCATCTGTAAGGTTGCCATAAAAATCTCCCGGAAGTCGAAATTTGTGTGCAAGATCTGGCTGCCTTGACAAAAATGCAGGTCAGTTTGTTCCGGGCTTTTTGCGAGCCCACCGCATTTTATTATAAACGAATTTGAGAGGAATTCATCTAAACGCACAGTAGAGACTCAATGATGCAAAATCATGGCAGATACGAATTGGTGAAATTCTTCAGCCAAACTCATGTGTCCATTGGGTCAAAATTCGATGTTTCGAACACTTTTCCTTATCGCAGCATGTAATATGAACTTTTGTACTGAAACCATTGAAAGAAGGCCGATTGAGAGCAAGCTTCAGAAGTATGCGTGCAATGCGTGTGGTTGTCGTTGCCACAACCGCTGTGGGTGAAACCGCAGTCGTTCGACACGATCATGTATGGCGACAATGTTCCTGACAAATTTGTGTAACATTGCATGCGGCCAACACTCGACCAGTCAAAGCAATGCTGCTTTCTGCAAACTCATTGGACAAAACCGCAGTATTTGCGATCATAGGTAGCATGAAACCACTCCTAGCCATTATGAGACCGCAATGTCAATATAGGACATAGGGACATAGCTTAATGCACGTTGCACGAGTACAAGTAGATGGGGAGCAGGCATCATTGCTTTGCAGAGAATTTAGGGCCAAGACTGAGAGTTCGGAGAATGTCCAGAGGCACAGGGATATGCTCAGGCACGTGCACTGGTTTTATTTAACTCAAGGTCTCTTCATTATTATGATGGTGTGTGGTAATGGTAACTGTTGTGCCCAATTCACTGATGATGTTCTGTAAATCACAGTCTCTTTGTGGCAACAGAGCCATTAACACCAGTGAAAAAAGAAATGAACAAATACTGTCTATTCCATTTTGCTTTCAGAATTTTGCAAACTCTCAGGCCATGTTCCGCTGAAGAGGTGAAGTGATAAAAAAGAAGTTTGACGTCTTGTGATAGCATTTTCTTCCGAATGCAGAAAGATAGGGAGCCTACATGGCAAGTGGGCTAACACGATGAAGGCGACTGTGGCACAAAGATAACTAATTGTAGGACAGTTAAAAGGGCCTGTTGTATGAGAAATTAACTCTGTACTCAAGGAAATAATAAGCATTTGTTGGTAGTCCTCGGGCTATTTCTACTATTCAACTCTTCGGATGATGAAGCAACTTGCCCAGTCTGCCTCTGTCATGATGCCACGATGCGTGCACCCTTCTCCTGCCAGAAAAGTTGCGAAATGACCCCACATCTCGGAGTCCTTTGTTCTGGCAATACCGGTTGTCCCCGCTCCTACCAAAATCTTTCTAAAACGCCAGAGGGCAGCAAAGAAAGATGGAAAAGTGGATTGTCTACTGTTTTATAATTGCTGACCTTTTATAACTTGGAAAATGCTCAAGTTTCGCTTTTAAGAATAGAATGTGCTAGCATAATGGGTCCTTGTTCAAGTAGCCTTATTAATCGCTAGCCTGGCATCGCTTCTTAGTTGACACTGTGGTGCTAGGAAAGGAATGTCTGCGCATCTAACATTGGCTGTTCGAAACTACAGTAGAAACACGATAATTGAAACTCTGATGATTCATACTTTTGGTTAATTTAAACGAAATTCAACTTTTTGGGTGGCCGTCAATTTTTTCAATGTATTTAAAAGCCTCTTAATTGAAACTCTATCAATCGGCTAATTCATAATTTTCACGATTCCATGCCAAAAAATATCGGCTGGGGTTTCATCATCATCATCATCATCATCATCAGCCTGACTACGTCCACTGCAGGACAAAGGCCTCTCCCATGTTCCGCCAGTTAACCCGGTCCTGTGCTTGCTGCTGCCAATTTATACCCGCAAACTTCTTAATCTCATCTGCCCACCTAACCTTCTGTCTCCCCCTAACCCGCTTCCCTTCTCTGGGAATCCAGTCAGTTACCCTTAATGACCAGCGGTTATCCTGTCTACGCGCTACATGCCCTGCCCATGTCCATTTCTTCTTCTTGATTTCAGCTATGATATCCTTAACCCCCGTTTGTTCCCTAATCCACTCTGCTCTCTTCTTGTCTCTTAAGGTTACACCTACCATTTTTTTTTCCATTGCTCGCTGCGTCGTCCTCAATTTAAGCTGAACCCTCTTTGTAAGTCTCCAGGTTTCTGCTCTGTAGCTAAGTATCGGCAAGATACAGCTGTTATATACCTTCCTCTTGAGGGATAGTAACAATCAGCCTGTCATAACATGTTATGACAGGCTGGGGTTTCACTACTATTTAAAAGTTTGCATGCTTATATAATCCTAACAGTCTGACAATGAAAAATAAGTACCTCAGGTTTTCAAGGAAAAAGGCTTTGCTAGTAAACAAATGTTTGAAACAAAGCCCATGCACGGTACATGTGATGTTTCTCAACTGGTATAGAGAGCATTGTGCTGAATGCACATACCTACAGCAATGAAGCAGTTTGAAATTCATGATTTTTTTATAAGGACTGATACGGAGTGAATGGCCAATAAACTTATGGACTGTACTCCTCTGCTTGCTGTTTATTGTATGCAGTTAGGGTTTAAAAACACTTGAAACATTTTCGAATGTCATAAAATAAGGCCTAATCATAATGTGTGGTGCCACCTCTCCCAGAGTCATCTATCTATGAAATTCTGGTAATTCAAACTCCTTTATCATTCAAACAAAATTCTGAGGTCCCTTCAAGTTTTTAACAAAAGTCTACTGTATCCTAGAATGCCCATGGCAAGGGCAGTTGTGAAGGGCTGACCATTCTTTCTATTGTGAATTGGTGAAGTACCCACTAAGTGTTTGCAAGGCAACAGATACACACACCTTTGTAGCTGCGGGTTTTGTTGCAGTGGTGTAGCCATGGTTAACCATGATCCATGCATGGAGGTGTAATGTGACACCAACTTCGCATGATTTAGTTCTAATGCAAAGTCTGTGGCAACTTCTGTGTTCGGTACTTGTAATGGAAGAAGTTAGTGTCCTAGTTGTTTTTTTCTCCAAAGTTTGGTATTTGTTACGGTTTGTAGGGAGTAGTACCGCTTGTCTATAAGCTGAAAGGTTACGTCTGATTTCTATAAAAAATGCTTTATTTAACACAAGAATACTTTAATGTGCCAGTGGCTAAAAATCAAGTACACAAAATGTTCGATATATGAACCTGGATATAATGAAATATCGGTTGTAAAGAAGAAAAGGAAGAATAGTCTTGCAATAGGCAGTGTTAGGGATGGATCTTTGTAACGAATTTTCAAATATAACGAACCTATTTTCGTGTAAGATGCAACTTTCTTGTAATGAGATTTGGGGTGTACTTGTACAATTAAAGACTACTGAGTAAGGGCCTTATAAATGTTTTAATCAAGCACTCATTTATTGGTTTCCTGTCTACGGGTGGTTCATGGGCACCATTCACTTATTTTATGCAGTTGTTCAACCTCTTTTGATGTCTGCTACCCAGCTAATGTCGTCCAAGCGAATAGGTGCAGCAGCAAAAGCTCTCAAGCTTCTTCGGCTGGTGCTTTCCAGGTAACGGTGTTCTTTCCTGTGTTTGTAATGCCTCGAACAAAAGTTCAAAGATTATAAATGTAACCTTCAAAAATAAGATACTATATATACAGTAAAACCTTGTTAATTCGAACTCAGTTATTTAGAAATACCACTTAATTCGAACCCGGTTATTTCGAAATACTGCTTAATTTGAAAACTAAGTTCGAAAGTTTCAAAGATCATTTTTTCCAGCCAAAACACATCATGAGCTTTGTTATACTGGCCATTATTAAATGCATAATTATAACAGAAAGAATGTGCGAATAGTCGCATCATGACGTGCTGACGGAGTGAGGAGCAGGCGTCTTGCTGCCTGCATGTCACTACTGTGTTGCAGTGAAGATTTCGTGTGTCTGCAGGTGTACATTTCAGTCAATCACGACCGCGTTTTTTTTTGTTTTTTTTCTGGTGGCAGCAGCGAGGCCTTCAGTTTCTCCATGTTCGCGGCAAAAGAAAGACCAGGTTTTGCTGGAAAACATGACTTTTAGAGCCGCAAGGTGGCCGGCACAGCAAACGACGAGCACTGATTACTTTGAATAATTCTAAGTTCCTTGTATTCCTCTTCTTGTATGTTCTGTTAATTCAAAAACCCGCCTAATTCGAAGCTTTCTCCTGGCCCCAGTGACTTAGAATTAATGAGGTTTTACTGTATGTGCACTCTGTTATACTCTATTACAACCTTCATACTCTTGTGTCTTCATTGAAGCAGGTTGTAATAGGTAGTATGCTGGGTACTTATTGTCAACAAATGTTGGCTTATATCATCAATTTAAACTTCAGAATGAAGTGTCTATATAATAAGCACTGTAAGAATTTTTGGAAGACATCTTCTCAAAAGTATTAATTACTATAAAATCCCAAGCATGTACCTTCTCTACAATGAAAGATAACCAGGCATGATTTTGAAAGAGGGCAGTGTAAGGGGGCAGTGTAAGGGGGCAGTGTAAGGGGGCAGTGTAAGGGGGCAGTGTAAGGGGGCTTGCTAGATCACATGAGAAAGAGCCTCCAAGAAAAAATTGCACCTGGGCTTTTAATGAAATTTTATTAAGTACGCTTGCATTTTCTGTTTTTACTGAAGCAGAGAGAATCTTCATGTGAAATTTTATGTGTTATAACAAGGGGGGGGAGGGGGTATAGATTCTTGGAATGCTCCAGCAATTTGTGAAAGCTCAGAATTCAACTTCGAAACACACCATTCTAAGTGGGTTAAAAAATCGTGCACATATCTAAAGACTCACGAAACTTGGGTTCCTACAAAGTGTTACTGCAGGATTTTGTGAAGAAAAAAAGGTTGGAAAAAAAAAAAAAAGATACAGGAGAGGAAGGTTGCACTTGCTCTGTCACGGCACATATTTCAAATCTCCCAAAAAGGGAGATTTTTTTTTTTTTTTTTTTCGCTCTAAGGACAAGGGTCTCTACGTTACGTGGCAGGGACGGGAAAGGGGAAGCCTGGCACCGGCGTGTCGCAGATCGACATTAGAGAGAGAGCCAACACTCTGCGACAGCTTCCTTCTTTTTTTCCCTCTCTCTCTTCGCACGCAGCGTTGGAAGGAGAAGGGTCTTTACGTGGCAGGGACAGAAAAGGGATAAGCGTGACACAGGCGCATCGCAGATCGGCATTGGAGGGAAAGCAAACATTCTGCCGCAGCCTTTTCTTTCCTTTTCTTCTCCTCCTTCTTCGCGCGCAGCGTTGAGATGTCCGAAGTGCCGTCGCGGGATTGGGCATGGTACTGACAGCATTTTCAGAGCGCGGTATGTTCGGATTAATCGTTGCAAGTGCTTGCGCATTTGAATTACAAGGCATTTTCGCCCATTGGAATACACATAGCTTTGACCGGACCACAGCGTGAGTTCGAATCAACCGGAAGTTCGAATTAAGCGTGTTCGAATTAATGAGATTCGACTGTATTTAGCTTGGGTCAAAACCATACACAATATGTATGGGGAGAATGCAATGTGTTATCACGTCTACTATACCACATGTGTTCATAAGGCAGCTGTCTTGGCCAACAGATGTCGCCATGTTGGCCATGATTAGCCATTAGCCACAGACCAGCAAATTTTCAAAGCTAGGTGACAGCTCTTGCAAAGCCTTTTGCGCTTCTTGTTCTGTCCCACATTTCGTGATCACCGCATGGCCTGGTTACAGCCTTGCCATGTGTGATTTGTTGAGTAGTTAGTGGTTGTGCAGTGGTGGCATTATGTTAGGACTTCACAGGTATTGTGTGATGATGCACCTTCATTTTTATTTTTCTTGACTTGAGTATGAATTGCTGCTTGTCTGTATTTTGCAGTGTAATAAAGTTCATTACTTTTGTAATGTAGTGGCAGTGTTTTATCGAATTTTTTTTAAATGTAGTCACTGTATAGAGTAACCACTGGACTCAAGTGCATTCTTTGCATGTGAAAAGCACAGAAAAATGGGCACCTTATTGAGTGCAACTGTTTTCTTTCAACAGGCAGCAGAGCTTTAGGGCGAATCTTGAACTTGTAAAGTTGTTTGTGCAACACTTGTCTGATCAAATGGCTACTGGACACCAAGTACTGGTGCTTGCTGCAATGGAGGTCTTTGGAGAACTGTGCAGGTAAGTGCACCAACTAGGACTTTAACTTGCTTCATTCATTTGAGGAGGTCTATTATACTGCTCGCTCATTGTTGAGAATTTATTGGGTCTCATGCACAGATCGTGCTGTTTATAATGATCCATGTCTGGTACACATTTTTCTAAAAAAGAAGTCAATACTAGCAGACGGGCAGTTTCTTTAGTTTAAGATTGTGCAGAGCACGATTGCGTGGCGAAACCTCTGGACCAGGTAACTTATTGTCAGCTAAATGACCAAATTTTGAAGAGACAGCATTTCGATCATTCTGACAAATACACATTATCAAAACGGTACCACCAGAGGTAGTTAATTCGTAGCTAACAGTGGTTTGAGCAGAAGAATATAAAACAAAAGACAAAAAGAAGGCAGGCAAAGACATTGGGCAACTAGCAGCTTAAATTTTATTTCCGTGCAAAAAGCCAAAATGAATAACTAAACATGCGTGGTGTTTGTTATTTTAAACATGCACAGTTTTTAGTTATTTGTGTGATTATGATATAAACAGGAGGAAATTAGTATGGACTAAAGGAAGACTGGGGGGCTGGCAGGAACGGAACCTGCAACCATTGATAAAAGGTTCGTTGTTGAAGCAATAGACTTTTTTCAAGCAATCACACAACGCCTCACAGTCGCGCGGAGCACTATGGCAAAAGTTGGTACGCCGAGAATACTGGCCCATCGTCTGCCAGCTGCTCGTTGGTGCCGTGCGAGCAGAAAGGGAAAAAAAGAAAACATGCTGCCACTTGTTGAATAGGGACCGACCGCACACCTGCATGTATATCTACACATGAAATGTGAAATAAATAGCGCAGTCAGTGTAGGTATCACTGTATGAATGTACGTAGAAGATAAACGGCATGCGAATTGTTGCGTACCGATACATGTGTTCAAAATACATAGCAACTGCTGCTCCATTCTCGATCTGCGAAATGTGAAGTACTGCCTGGAATTTCTGATTACTCCGCTGTGTTGTCAACCCTTTCGGGCATCTCTGTGAATAAATCTGTTGATGATCACTACTGTGCTGAACTTCTCATGTGCAGATGATGTTGTCATATTAGATATGCTTTCGTTTAGTTTTGACTCGTTTCAGGACAGTAGCGCAGATATACATATTCTTTGGAACCAATTTAAAGATCTTGTTAATGATTGCATAAATCACTTTCTTCCTTCTATGTTAAAGAAAAGAAAATGCAAATAACCCTGGATTTTTCGTGACACTTTGTAATTAAAAAGACGATTAAAATGCCTGAAGGCGAAAAGAGGTACTGCAAGAGATTTAGACGTTTTACTTGCTGAAATTTCCAAGCTTTCTTTGGAGCTAAAAATGAAAGTCTCATCAGACAAGCAACGCTACTTTTGGGAGAAACTTCCGGAATTTATCTCTTCATTGCCTGAAAAATTCTGGAGGCTCACTCCTCTAAGTAAACAAACTAATGATGCTTTCATTGTAAATGGGGTAATGAGTGATAATAGTGTGGTAATAGAAGATGCATATACCTCACACTTTAAATTTGTGTTTACTCATGAGAGCGGTTCATTGCCATACTTTCATGCTTCATACCACTTTATTTCTGACATCGCTACTGATGAAAATGGAATACTTAACATGCTTCTTAAAATCGATATTAAGAAATCACCTGGTCCTGATGGTCTACCAAACGAATTTCTCAAGCGATATGCGCCATGAGTGTCTTAATATCTGTGTGTACTATTTTACAAATCACCTACTGAAGGTTAGATACCAACGGACTGGAAAACTGCAGCAGTGAAACCCATTTTCAAAAATGGTAATAAGCAGCTTATCGTGAACAATCGTCCTATCTCGCTGATTTCAACATCATGTAAGATTTTGAAGCCTATAAAACATGACCATATTAGTGAATTCAGTGAATTCCTTTCAAAAAGTGAAATAGTGTCATGCAGTCAACTTGGTTTCAGAAAAGGGTTCTTGACACACACTCAGCTAGTAACTATGGTACACGATTTCTCTCTTGCGATAAATTCAGGTAAGCAGGTGGATGCGATCTTCATAGACTTGTAAAAGCCTTTGACAAGGTTTCCTACAAAAAGCTACTTCACAAACTTTATGTCACTTTGGGTAATACTAAAATTGTTACTTGGCTTACTGCGTATCTTTCCAACCGACAACAGTATGTTTCTTTTAAAAACCAGGCCTCTCAGATGCTTTCCGTTGACTCTGGCATTCCGCAAGATTCAGTACTTGGGCCACTTTTGTTTCTTATTTTTATAAATGATATTAATGACATCCCTGTGAAAATTAAACCGTATTCAAATGACTGTGTAATGTATTCAGAAATTGATATTATCAACGACCAGATACGATTAAATGAAGCCTTTGGTGAAATGTTAAATAGAATGTGAAAGGGTCATCATTTCATGGATTGTGAGATGGCCATCAGCTTTGACAAAACAGTTTCTATGAAAATTTCGCGCAAGCATAGCAATCTGCATTTCTAGTATTCGGCACACAATGTCTTGCTCTCAGAAGTTTATCACATAAAATATCTTGGTGTTTGGATTTGTAATGATCTCAGATGGAACAAACACATCAATAATATGTATAATTCTGCCAATCAAAAGCTTTTCTTCCTTAGACGGGCTTTGAAATTTACAACTTTCGATGTTCGTATTCTTGCATTTTACGCAATTGTGCAGCCTGTATTAGATTACGCATCCATAATCTGGTATCCTTTCACCAAAAAAGACATTGATAGAGTAGAAGGCATTCAAAAGCGGACGGTTTGATATATATGCAACAGCTTTGGACACACTTAGATCACAGCCTTGTTAAAAAGAGCTAATCTACCAACCTTGACACAAAGAAATCTTGTTCTCAGATTAAAATATCTCTATCAACCTATGAAGGTACACTACAGTGTTGATATTGCTGAGATCATCTCCTTTTCTACAGGTTATGTTACAAGACAGCGGCATGCAATAACAATCGCCCCCTTCAATATCCGCAACAACTGCTTTAAGTACTCGTTTTTTCCTGGAGTCATAAATGACTAGAATCAACTGTCTAACGATGTGGTGTTGCAGCCATTTTGAATTTGTGCGTGTGCCATGTTGTGTAACTAGCTTATTTTTCTTTTTATGGTATTAATAGCTGTATTTGATGCATTGTTTCAATTATACTTGAAGTGTATATCTGCATAGATTTTGTACCACATGTAGTTTGTTTTTTATTGTTTTTGTTTGTCCTACTAGTTGTATCAAATATTTGTATCCCATCCTGCGAAAATCTTAACGGGGTTGCATTATTTGTAAATAAATTATAAATAAATGAAGTATGCTATCGTAAGGAATGTGAGCTGGAACACTGAATTTGTAGTTATTTAACGATGAACTGCTCATAAAGCGCTGTGGCTTTTAATACCGTCACAGTTTGATTGGGCCATTAACACAAGACTGCAGTGAAGTGTTACAGCTGTAGAATTTTAATGTACAAGCCACGCGCTGGAAAAAAGAAAAGTAAACACATTCTAAATGTGTAAAGTTGAAGGAACGGAACTAAAATTCACATGCGAATACCTTGCCCTAATAATTTCGGTTTCTTATGAAATACTTAAGTGTCTGCAGAGCATGTTTGCTGGCAGTATATTCCGCATTGAGTGAGGCCACTATTGAATTTTACGTTGGCTCTTCAAATATCGTTCAATGAGCAATTGTGATGTCGTACTTACGCTCGACGAAGAAAAAGAACAAATAAACTTGGGCACATTACATGAGCAATAACTTGCAGCTACAAGAAGACGTGGTGTCCTGCCTATATCATATTGCATCGGTTTCTGAACAGCTCATTCGCACTGCAAACAAAGATTAATACGGATGACCTTCACAAAGGAACAAACTAGGAATGTTGCAGTTATTTCGTGCATACGTTCTGCACAGTCTGAAAGGGAAAGGAAGTTGAGAAGTGATATGAGGTGGGAGTTGTGTTTCCCACACCATATGCCTAGTAAAATTTTTTTCTGTAGAGTAGAAAAAGTCGCAGGGTTCTGCAGTAGGCAGAGAAAAGTACTTTGAGGGGCATGCGAATCGTTCTTTCAATTGTTGTGCAATAGTTTGTAACCGAATTCTTCTTGTGTTCACATATACACATTGGTCAGACTGGTTGGTGTATGAACACATGCCTCACAGAGCATCGAAATTAATTGAATGAAGCCACTTCATCTCACTTCGCATTTTCAGTCATTTTAATGCAATTTCATCTTTGAAGGCCTGGTAATCTTGCGCAGTCACCCTAACCAGACCATGCGAGAAATCTCGGAGACACATTATAAAGAACAGCGCACCTTGTTTGAGCCAATTAACCTTCACTATCGCTATAACATGAGCAACGTAATTAATCAACTGTAAACACCCGCCTCGGTTGTTAGTCTTTTTGTATCTTTTTGTGACATGCACTATGCACCCCAATTTTTCTTATACTATGTGTCTGTTAGCACATGCGATAACCATTCAGTCATGAGTGAGCGTTTCCTGTGTTCATATTCCTGTCCTGGTCATACTTCTGTCACGGGGTCATGACGTGGCCAAGGACAGGAGACTTTATGTTGGGATTTAACTGCTTATTTGGGCGAACCTGTAAACGGAAAGTCCGATTACCGTAGCAGTCTTTCACAGATAGCAGTGAACGGAGCGTCGGCCGTCAATCAACTACTGACAAGCGCCGAAGTGCATCGGCATTTGTACTCTTGCCGTCAAATGTTCTAGTGTTATCGCTGGCCGTGACAAGTGTTCCAGAATAATCTATACAGTTCGCGGAGTGGGCGTGATCTTATTGAAATGATCTACTACAGTCCCGAAGCTTCTCGAAAACTGTAGGCGCGGTTTGCGCTGAGAATTGTGTAGTATATTGGGGCGATAACAAAGCTTGAGGAATGGAACATGGCATTGCCCCCCTCTGAAAAACGCATCGTCCCGATGCTTCAACTAAAGATGAAGG